CCCGCGTCTCCTGCATCGGCAGGCGGACTCTCAAGCACTGCGCCACCAGGGAAGCCCTAGATTCTCAAATTTTTTAAAAAAAATCTCGGTGGTAATCATTTAACACACACATATCCAATCAATCACACATGTATCCTGTGCCTACTGGGTGAGAGGTAAAACTTGTCAGAATGATCCATAAAAGGCCCTGCTCTAACCAGGGGTTCTGCCTACAGTGAGCCTCTCTGTAACACCTCCCCCACCACTCCCACTTATCTTCAGCCTCTCAGTGGACGATCCCAACGCTGTGACGTGCTCCGGGCAGCCAGGCCCACTACCTGTACAATCCTCTCCACTACCCCCAAGTCCCTTCTCATCCCTCTCCAAGTCGCTTTTCCACACTCTCCTTCCAGGGCAGGCTTCCAGCCCAGGACAATTAGATTATAATTTTCAGTTTTGTTAGCAATTGACAGCTCTCCACTTCTCCAAGTTGAGAAGCAGTTTTTCCCAGTAACTTCAGAGCTGTAGCAAGTTAAGAAAACAAAAACCAAAACCAGTGCTTGACTACACCCAACTCACCCAAGAAAGAAGCTGGCTGCCACAGGGTGGCAGAGGCCAGGGTCTCAACCCAGCTAACAAAGGCTGTCCGGTGCCAAAGCACAGGCTTTCCCCAGCTGTGGCAGCTGATCCTGACTCTGGCCTGGGGTATCTGGGGGAACCTAAGCCTCCACCCTCAGCTCCCCAGGGAAATGAGTACATTTTGCTTTCTCCCATTAATCTGTACGTTTCAGCCTATGGACATTTTCACCCCGTGGCTGCAAGCTATGATCAATCAATGGAAAGCATATTTTCAAGAGATAAAAGAAGTTTTCACCCTTAGGACCCATACAGGGGAGGGTATGAACTTGCTTGCCAGCATCGGGTGAATCTCCCCAGGAGCTCTTCAGCATGTTTACTGAAGGTACTCCAGCCATTGCACAAATCGCTCCTCTCCCCTCCTCTTACCAGAGTTGATAAAGAATGGAAATCCTTTGGTAACTCGGGTGTGGCTGCGTCCACGTGCACAATGGTGGAAACATCCCCAGAGTCAGAGACAGGTGTGAGGGGTCTTATCTTTAACAAGTCCCCTTTCTGGGATCTCTGACCCCAGGAGCTCATACAAACAAGAGCCTCGACAGCTTCCATGTCGTTCTGCTCCAAGATGCTGCACGTAGACCTCTCGCTGTCGTGCCGCTTCCTCTCCAGGATTGACTCGCATATGTCCATGATGTCAACCTAAAGTCGACACAACACAGCGGCTGAGTCCCTGGAAACACAGGGAGGGGCACTGGGACAGCATGGGGGACGCGCACACCAGAAGCCCGCCCCGCCCCCGGCAGCACGCGCACGCGCTCTGGCTTCCAGGGAAGGATGCCTGCCGAGCGCCGAGGACCACTCGCTCCGAGCCAGCGTTCTGCAGCGGGGGGTGGGGGGTCGGTGGGGGGAGGAGGAGGAATGGACTCGGTCCGCCAGCGGCTTCCACGGAAAATCCTGACTGTTAACAAAGGTTATTAAGCTAGTTTCTCCTTCGGGAAATGATTAATAACACTTCCAGAGGTGTGAGCTGCAGTGGCTAGTACCAAACTGTCCCCGGGGGAAGAGGAAAAGACACTGATGGCTGAGGTTGGGTAAGATGAGAGCGCAGCCCTTCTGAGTCGGCGAAGCCACCAGAGCGTCCCCACAGACGCATCTGCGACAACCCTGGAGGCTCCACACCAGTGAGGCCGTCACTCAGCAGAGCCCTGGGCGGGAGTGCCTGCACTGGCTCAGCCCCGGTCCCCACACCCAGGAGCACCGATTCACGCCACAAGGCCAGCGCGGGGAGAGGAAGAATGTGTAAGATGTGCCACAAGCCCGGGCCCCGAGGACTTTCCAGCGCAGCAGACCGTCTCTTGTCAAGCAAGAGCGGGGCGGGAAGCGACTGAAACTAACTGATCTCTTCGCAGAGAAATTTTACACCTACTAAGATACACACTTCCACTCAGTTTGCCTAAACATCCAACCTGTCCTGCCCAGGTGTCCTCCAAAGCACACAGGCAACGCCGTCGCCTTTACAAACGCCGCTCTAGCCCCACTTCTGCCCGCAGCCCGGGCCTCGGAACTAACTGAAGTCACAGACGTGCGGGCTGCCGCCTGCTTGGCCCACAGGCGGGCAGGGACAGGGCGGCGCGGGGTTCCCACACCTCCATAGGCCTCTCAGCAGTCCGCGGGGCTCGACTAGGTCCCAGGTCCAACCAGCCAACTCCTCGCGGCCCTCGGGCCCCGACTGGAGCCCGCCAGGGTTGAGGCGCCGGGCCCCGCCCCCCGCCCCGTGCAGCCTTCCCGCCGGCCTTTGCCCCGCCCTTTGCCCCGCCCCCACGTTCCCACAGCCCTCGCCCCGCCCCCCCTTCCCGCCAGCCGTTGCCCCGCCCCCTCACCCTTTCCACCGCCCGTGCGCCGCGTTCCCACCGTCCTTGCCCCTTCGCCGGCGCCCCGCCCCCGCCGCCCGCGTGCCGCGTTCCCGCCAGCCGCGCCCCACCCAACGGCCACCTCCTCAGGGCCTGGTGACGTCATGGCTGGAAATAGCCCCGCACCTGAAGCCGGCGGGGCGGGGCCGCTGCGGGAGCGGTAGACAAAGCTGAGCAGAGAGCCGCGCGAGGCACACGCCCACTTCCCGCCCCTCCCGGCGCGGCCTCGTGCGGCCACCGCCCCTCTCGGCTCCCGAAGCCGCCCGGGCTTCTAACTGTGCGCGCGCGGGT